CGTTCATTCTGATTTTGACATTGACACTAAAGAAGTTGTTGACACGTTTAACAATGCTAGGCGAAGGAAAATGTTACTCTCCTAAAGGACCTCGGTTGTTAACTTCAGTCTTACATACGAAAGTCACATTCATATATTACCAAATTAAAAATTTATTGTTTTAATTGCTTTGTTTTCGTATGTTAACATATATATGTCATGAGATGATCCAGTTCTCTAGCCCTTTCTTTCTCTGAAGCATAATAAATTGGCGAGCATTGCAAAGTTTTTAGAATGATTTTTTTAGTCAGTTTTAGGTCTTTGATTTGATATATGGCAAAACACTTAACTGTGCATACTTCAACTTCAAAATTACCCTCTCTGGTTGCTGAACATCTGGGGCTTTATCCCCAGACTTCCTCGGGCGCTGTCCTGGACCTGCAGGGGACCATAAGCGGCCCTCGGATCCCTTAAACCAGAGCTTAGTATCTTTAAACTAGAAGGCACAGTCAGGACAACGACATTTTAACGGATCATTTAGCGAACTTTTGTAGTAAATTCTGTCTCACAAAAATATGTTTCTTAACTATGCATTCAATTAACCATGATTTACCCTAATCAAAAGAGATCAAGGCGCTCACTAGTATATGGAATTGGAACAACAATCTTACCACGAATATTGATTGATAGGCATATTATTTGTTTGTGTCCGATGGACCCGCATGCACCTACGAACGAGTCGACCGACAGTCCAACCATCATTGAATAGTTTTGCATTGATGAATTGGTTATATGACCTTTGAGGCGCATCTTTTTAACCATCTGAGATCGAAAAAAGATTCATTTTCTGCAAAAAAAGGGTCAAAAAATTTCGGAAAAACTTCTGTGTGCACAGCATTATAAGTCTACCTACGCCACTGATTATTTCGCGTTCTATGGACCTTGCTATTGTCTACACTTGACATTCATACATTATAACCTTAATTGAACACATTGTAAAATTGTATTTTATTTTGTATTTTCAGCTCTTTACCATTCGTTAGATTGGTTTTGAGAATAAATTTTCAGCACCTGATAGTCTTAATGCTTGAGCCCAATCGTGGTTATACTTAATGGTCAGGCCATTACACTGAACAAGTTATCATATTGTATAAATTTGACGTCAATCATCTTAAAAACTCACACAACCTCGACGAGAAACACAGCATGCAGACAATGTTATTATGTATTTTCGCTTTTGATTAATGTATATGATTATCATGCTGGTTTTTTAATTCTAGTCTATATACTTAAATAATGGGGCGTCCGTTTGGATGTGCGGGATGTAATTATACGCATTCAAGTCCAGTCGGAATGGGGATGTAAAATCTGACCCCCGTGCAGGGTGCGTGAGTCTTCAATCTTCACTTTTATCAACCTTGGAACAACTTTGTAAAAGGTCCACAGGTAGTCTGAAGCAGAGCAAACTATCCGACTCGTTTCGAGTAGCAGTTTTAATTCCTTGCTGCTCATCCTGCTTGACCTACCTAGCAGAATTTACCGATTGTGTTTATTATTAATTTGTTCTCGTTCTGAATATTCGTGAAATATTTGCCACTGGACACTTTTAAGATGAAAAATTTAATAATCGAAAATAATGTCACTTTCTCCGCCAGTTATAAACTATTTAGAAACATGCTAACGGCTCTCTAGCTTACCTTTCTCTATCCTTTCTAAATATTCAATTCAAGTTTACTTAATATAGTCTATCATTTGGCGTTAACATATGGCAGAAGCGGATCGTTGAGTTCAAAATATTTTTTTGAAAGATGTGAAAAGCATCGGAAAATTTTACTGACATGGAACTGAAAACATGATTTTAAAGTTGAACAAATATTTTTTGTAAAAACTACTGAGGAAAAATTGTACTATAGTTACTGAAGTTTTTTGGAAGGTATATAGCTATTCGCAGGATATAACTTTATAAGCAACGAAAAGAGTGTGATGGATAAGTTGATTTGGCATTTTCAACTACATTTTTTTCAGGAATGTTGACTTTTAATTCACGTCAAAGCCTTCAGTTTTACTTGTTTCATACAGACATAACAAGCTAGTGCACTCAATATTATTTTTCGTCTGTGCCAATTTGCTAATTTTTTAGATCACTTTTGTTTTTATCTTTTTCTGTCTTTCCTAGTGTTTTTATAAGTACATTTAGTCTGGTGAAGGTCAACATTGTATTAGTTGATTCTAAAATATATGAAATTGAGAATGGAAATGGGGAATGTGTCAAAGAGACAACAACCCGACCATAGAACAGACAATAACAGAAGGTCACCAACAGGTCTTCAATGCAGCGAGAAATTCCCGCACCCGGAGGCGTCCTTCAGCTGGCCCCTAAACACATATATATACTAGTTCAGTGATAATGAACGCCATACTAAACTCCAAATTGTACACAAGAAACTAAAATTAAAAATAATACAAGACTAACAAAGGCTAGAGGCTCCTGACTTGGGACAGGCGCAAAAATGCGGCGGGGTTAAACATGTTTATGAGATCTCAACCCTCCCCCTACACCTCTAGCCAATGTAGAAAAGTAAACGCATAACAATACGCACATTAAAATTCAGTTCAAGAGAAGTCCGAGTCTGATGTCAGAAGATGTAACCCAAGAAAATAAACAAAATGACAATAATACATAAATAACAACTGACTACTAGCAGTTAACTGACATGCCAGCTCCAGACTTCAATTAAACTGATTGAAAGATTATGTCTTCATCATATGAATATCAGGCACAATCCTTCCCGTTAGGGGTTTAGTATCATACCATCATAACATATATAAGAAGAACATAACCCGTGTCATGCCAACAACTGGTTTTTAAATAAATGTGTTTAGTGCCGATGCAAAGACCCTATAAGTGAATCAATATTAAAGCCAAAATATGCAATCTTTAATGACCTGACAACAGTATCGTAACTATATCCCTTTTTAATAAGTCTATTTAAAGGTTTTGTTAGCTTCAGAGGTGAATACTGACATTTTTGTGCTTTATAAAGAATATTTCCATAAAAAATTGGATGTGAAATACCTGAACGTATGAGAAGTCTGCATGTTGAGCTATATTTACGAATGATGTCCTTATACCGATGATAAAATTTAGTAAATGTTTTGACTAGTTTGTGATATCGAAAACCCTGGTGTAATAATTTTTCAGTAATACATAAATTTCTCTCATTAAAATCTAAAACATTGTTACATACACGAGCGAATCGTACAAGTTGAGATATATAAACACCGTAACATTTATTTCTAAGTAACGGTGTGATATTTGAAAGTTGAACTGACAAAGAATGTAATAAAAAGTCGAAAGATATCAAGTAGATATAATATTTAAACTAATAAGTCAAAGAAAAACGTAACAACGCTTTGCTCCTTGGGAAAATAAAACAAAAAACCGAAAAGACGAACAAGTCCACAAAACACTACATAGAACACTAAAGAATGAGCAACACGAACCCCACCAAAAAAACCGGGATGAACTGCAAATAAAAACAAAACGAAAACGACAAAACGACGAACAATAGATATAAGAAGATGTGCACTATATGAGTGCCAATGAGATAATTCTCCATCCAAGTTCACAAAACACTATACAAAGAAAAGTAAGACGAACCCCACCAGAAAACCGTGATGAACTCACTTTCCCCGGAAGGGTTAGCAGTTCCTGCTGCACGTGCGGCACCGGTAGTGTTGCTACTGCAAGTACAAATCTGGTGACAAGTCTCATTCAGTTATGTAACAATCATGAAGGTCAAATAATAATTCGTGGAGGCGTCATTTGTCCATTATTCTGTCAAAATATTCTGTGCATCATTTCAGTGAGTCTATGTAAGAATAACACGTATAGTCGTCTTTGTTTAACCAGGTTCCTTGAGAGAGTGAGAGAGAGAGAGAGCAAACGACAAATATGATATGCAGCAACAAACGACAACCACTTAATTACAGGCTCCTGACTTAAGACATGCGAATACAGAAAGTGGCGGGGTTAAACATGTTTGCCGGCACCAAACCCTCTCCCTAACCTAGAACAGTGTTATAACAATGCAACATAAGAACAAACTATAAAAATCAGTTGAAAAGAACTTAACTCACATCAGATCGGTATAAAGCAGAAACACATTTGTATCGACAATACTAAAGATTAAAAATAAAAAAAGAACGCCATTAAATCTTATTTCTTTGTTCCAAATTGCTCTACATAGAGGCCATGTTTTGCTGTATGTCAGCCATTGCTGTCATTGTGATATTTGTGTTTGCGAGAACTCCTGCATTGTTGAAGACCGAACGGAGACCTATATTTACTTATATCCATGTCAGTTAGTCTCTAGTGGATAATTGTCTCATTGACAATCAACCTCAGCCCCTTATTTTTATAATTCAGGTGATTCGATTGCCCAAGTAGTTTAAATACAGTGATTACTAGCCTGTCAACCCCCCCCCCCCTTTTTTTAATTTTTTCTCAAATGTGACATCATCTAATATGTACTTACATGAACAACATGACGGCTACCCCATGTGGAGCAGGATCTGTTTACCCTTCCTGAACAACTGAGATCACACCCGGTTTTTGTTGGGTTCGTGTTGCTCAGTCTTTAATTTTTTTCTATGTTGTTTTTTGTAAAGTTTTTGTATCTTTGTCGTTTTTCCTTTTATGCCTTGACGTTGTCAGTTTTTGTCGACTTATGAAATTGAGTATCCCTTTTGTATCTTCCGTCTCTCTTTTTTGTCGAGTGTGATTCTGAACGGCGCTCATGACATGTGTCGGCTTTGATCGTAATTTAAAGGGGTTGGCAGTTTTCCTGCCGGTTGTCAGTGGTTCTCTTCGGGTATTTAGGAGGGCTTCCTCCACCAATAAAAACGTACCATCATGTTTAATATAATGACGCTGAAAGCGGCGACAAACACCAACAAACAAACCAACGAATTTTTATGATGGGCGAGTACGGTCTCAAGGAGACATCATTTGGTTAAGATTTACAATTAAACAAATTTAATCAAAATTTATGTTACAACGTATATAAAATAATACTTTAATGTTCATCTGCAGAGTTTAAGAATACTGTATGTTATTCAAGTCTCCGACAGTGTATTTGCAGCTTAGTATTTCTAAGCCACGACATCGTATATTAAACCTAAATTACACTTATATATAATCATATTATGGCTTACTCCTGCCTGTATCTATTTTCGTATTTTCCAGCACATTTTGCCATGCAATATATATATTCAATACATTGTTTATTGTTTACTTGTGTTTGTATTTAGTAGCAATCCGATTGTTGGCCACAGATCAAAATTAAATTCCTCTATTAGTTCTTAATAACGTTTTGTCTCATTAAAAAAATATGCACCTAGTCTTTTTGTCAAATCTTTTGTGTGTGTAATGTACAGTACTAGTCCAAAAATATATCCAACATTCACAAAGATTGCACTTTAACATCTTATAAATATAGCCAATACACATGCATACCCCAGGCCACGGACAAGTCAAGAGATGTTCCGAAAACTATAAATATAACTTTTTTGCACCTGGGTTAATCACTCTTTCCATATCAGAATCAGTTAAAATACAAGATCCAAAAATTTATTTCAGCTCTCTTCTTTCATTTCCACCCCATTAAAAACTAAGAAATGAATTAGAAAGGGAAAGACAAAAATATAGAAAAAATACACTTTAATTAAAGGGAACTATATGAATTTTGTAATTGTGGTTCCCGGTCTGTTTGGATTTTATACTAATAAAATATCTTGTCTTATCTTATCTTATCTTATCTTATATACGTTTCTGTATATTTCGTGCACTTCGCTTAAGTGCATTTTTTTTTGTCTTGACGAAATTTTTTTCGTTTCGTAAATGAATAATTACAATCTTTATACACTGTTTCTGTAAAGTTACATAAATGATTTTTTTAATGTGTATATTTTTACCAACAGAAATATTGATAAACTTTTCCGCATACGTGAATCATTTTTTATATGAAAAATAATGTTCTCGTATAGGCAATACTCTATAACATGACTTTCAGCCATTAATTTAGTATTTGGTATTGCAATTATTGAATTAGAGGGTTATACATTTTGATTGACAATGAAGAGATAGCGGAAAGAGAAAATTTGTCTGTACGTAATTTTTCAAATCTTTTAATTACATTCAATCGAATGTAAAGCTAAAAACAATAAATGTCAATATATATTTTTGATAAAACATTCAATTTGGTTAACATTCCTATTTATCACTTTCAACATATTTACACCTTTTTGATCTGTTATATAATATCATATACTAATAAAATAAATAAAAAAATATATATATACATGCATATATTGCTGAAAGAAAGTTGTTAAATGATTATTTAAAGAAATTTGATTTAAAATTAGATTGAACTATGTTAATCAATTAAAACAATTATAATTCTCCCCTTGTCAAAAGATGTCTATGCTGTTAATGCAACGCACAAAAAGACATTCATATCTAGGAAAAATACTGTCATGGCAAATAAGAATTTGTTTGGATAATACCCCTGGGGATCTTTATTATTCTCGGTATTTTTAAATTTTAATAAAATGACCCCAATGACCAAGTCAGTGATGCATTAGAAAAGTTTTGTAATGACAATTTCGATTATATATTGTTTACGGATAGAACTTTGATCAGTTGTGTGGAGACATTTCACACATTGTTGTCAATATAATGGAATTTTATGCGACTGTCATACAAGTGAGAGGTTTAGCTAGCTATAAGACCCATATGAGTCCACCATTTTCTACATAAGGAAATGCCTGTACCAAGTCAGGAGTATGACAGTTGTTTTCCATTCGTTTGATGTGTTTGAGCTTTTGATTTTGCCATTTGATAAGGGACTTCACGTTTTGATTAATTTTCCTTGGGGTTCGATATTTTTGTTATTCTACTTTTTAAGCACTTTACGATATTACAGGAACAAAACATGTGGTACACTGACAAGTTCATGTCATGGCTGTTCAGAACATATACCATGGCTGTGTAAGGGGTGTGAATATGGACCAGTTTTGACCATGCATATGGCTGTGTAAGGGATCCGGATGTGAATATGGACAAGTTTTGACATATTTGATTATTCATAATATTAAGAGGAAAGGGGGAAGAGGGTACGACCCCGATTGCTGAACTAATAAAAAAGGGCGCATTTAAGAATATACATGATTTAAGAGTGGGGAACTGAACTATTTTTGAGATATTTAGCAAATCATTTTATATGGTGGTGTTAAATGATCCCCGGGGCAAATTCTATACATTTGAAGGCGCACTTGAAATGTCTTGACATTATGAGCAATAAATTTGATTTTGAGTGGACATGAAAATGTTCCCTAAATGCAATTATTTGACCTTGAGGTCATCAGTCAAAGTTGAAGGTCACCTTTAATGATTCACAACAAATCGTCCAAAATACGGAATAAACCCTATGTCAAAAGGATGAAAAAGGTTATGAACGGACAAGAAATGCCCTAAATAATCAATTATTTTGACTTTGAAGTCAAAAGTCATGGCCACACGCCGTGTGACACATCGTTGTTGTATAATACGTCTGCATACCAAAATCCATGAGAAATCCTGTGAGAAGAACAAAATATGGAAGTAGAAGAAAAAGGAAAAAGAGAGAAGAAGAAAAAGAAGAGAACGAAGAAGATTTCTTCTTAAAGGCAATGCAATAAAACATTAACAATTTTCCGGTAGTTCCACTAAATCATAATCCTCCCTTTCAGTAGGTAGTTCACAGTGGTCATAATTGTCATCGGTAGACGGTCGGATAAAAAACCTCTTCTTTTCACTTGCATGTTGAGTCACATCGTAATCGCTTTCTTTTGTTGAATCATATATATCATCAGAAGTTTTCTCATGTGGGATTGTACTCATTGCACAGTCGTAAGTATCATCTTCCGCGTTTTCTTGAGACGTTTTATTGTTATCCATTTCATCATTATGATATATAACATCATCATCATCTTCTTGCTCGTTGTAATAAATGGCATCTTCAGAAACTGTTTCTAATTTGTTTGGAGTTTCCTTAGAAACCTCATAGTGATCGTCTGCTTCTATATTTATGTTGTTTACATGTGAAATATCGGATTTTTCATTTTTCGTCTTTTCCTCGACCTTTTCGTCGTTGTCAACGGGTACGGCAAAATCGTATACGTCATCATTGTCCGTTTTTGCAACTGCAGAACGAAGTGATTCAGTACATGTTTCACTGTTTACTGCTTTTATGGAATCTGATGAAGATGCAGAAAAAGCATTAACATAGACTTCATCATCGTCTTCTAGATATTCTTCGCCATTTGTCTTTTCAATTTCATTTGATTCCTTAATCTCCAGATTTCCAGAGTTCTGTTCTAATTTGTGTTTGTTTTCAATATCAACATTGTTTACTGCTTTTGTTGAATCTGACGAAGAGGCAGAATAAGCGTTAATATAGACTTCTTCGTCGTCTTCTATTATCTCACCGCCATTCGTCTTATCTCTTTCATTTGTTTTGTTAAGCTCCAGATTTTCAGAGTTCAGTTTTGATTTGTCTTTGCTTTCAGTGTTAACGGTGTAAGAATTGTCATTTTCAGTTATTTCAGCACGTTTTACAGACTTTGTATATACGTGCTCCACATCTCCGTCAGGTTTTATATATGGTTTATCAACGCCCTCAATTTTCGCTGAGGTTTTCGGCTTAGAATGTTTTTCGTCTAGGTTAACATCAATTCCAGAGTCGCTGTTTCTACTGCCATTTTCGTCTTTTTCGGCATCACACTTCTGCTCCCTACCAGTTAAGTCTTTACTACTATCATTGTCTTTTCTGTTGGACAGAAAAGTCTCCTCATCAATCATATGGTAATTTTGATTACCATCTGATATTCTTTGAAGATCGTTGCTGGCCATCTTGGATTCTCGATTGTCGGAAAAAGCCATACTTTCTGTAAATGCTCTACTTTTCACCTCGTAACGTTTGCCTAATGTTCTGTTTGACCTAGAACAGATAGAAAAAAGTAAAATAACAAAAATACCGAAATAGGGAAATTCAAATCGGAAAGTCTATAACCTATAACATAATTCCAAGATTAAAGTCGACAATTTGAAAAAAAAGGATGGCCCTAATACGCTTCCGTATATAACAGATAGAAAGAAAAATGGTGATTAAATTAAACGTTAACATACCGCTGTTGTCATATAGGCCAAGAAAGGATTTTGCACTTTTTTTAATTCTTGAATGCAATAGGTTGCTAGTGGTTTTCATCGGAATAAATTAACATAATAAATAACAAGTACATTTTCTCAAGTTTTATACTAGTTATTTCGGTTTTGAACGGAATTTAGTTGCTTTTCCCTTTTGAAATCATCTAGTGAGATTGTAATATGACTATCAAAGTGATAATACGAATGACAAAATAATCCATAGATACATGTAGCATGTGCAACATCATGGACAGTCCGTAAACTTATCGTCTTGATAGCTATATGTCGACGTTTTACGCGTGTTGCGACAGGTGATTATTTATAATTACATGGCATTGAGTTATTCCCGGTACCTAAGAACATTACACTTTTATGTTGATTCTTGTGATTTGTGCCGTTTTGATGAGGTCAGCTTTTTCAGCTGATGTGTACAATTTTCTTGTGATGTGCTGTTTCACCACTGTCCCAGTTTATGGAGATGGTTTTGCGCTCGCTAACATATTTTTTAACCCCGTTCGTAATGTGTGCCTGCCCTAAGTCAGGAGCCTGTAATTCAGCTGCTGTTGAGGGTTGCTGTCTGTCATATTTTTTCTTTTCGTTTATTGTTTCATCATAAATCAGGCAGTTAGTTTTTCAAAATTGTGTTGTTTTACATTTTGTCATGTCGGAGCATTTTGAAGCTTACTCTGTGTTGAAGGATTTATGGGGACCTATATGGTGTCATGTCAGAGCATTTTGAAGCTTACTCTTTGTTGAAGGATTTATGGGGACCTGTATGGTGTCATGTCAGAGCATTTTGAAGCTTACTCTGTGTTGAAGGATTTATGGGGACCTATATGGTGTCATGTCAGAGCATTTTGAAGCTTACTCTGTGTTGAAGGATTTATGGGGACCTATATGGTGTCATGTCAGAGCATTTTGAAGCTTACTCTGTGTTGAAGGAGTTATGAGGATCTATATGGTGTCATGTCAGAGCATTTTAAAGCTTACTCTGTGTTGAAGGATTTATTGGGATCTATATGGTGTCATGTCAGAGCATTTTGAAGCTTACTCTGTGTTGAAGGATTTATGGGGACCTATAGTTGATAACACCAACATCATTAGAAATCTTGTGGATAATTGACTCATTGGCAGTCATACCGCATTTTTTTTTTTAGGGTTGTTGATGAAATTCAAAATAATTCATTACAGTTACATGTACGATGACATCTGTTTTTTTCTTGCATCCATTAATAATAAAATTATCAAAAAGTGCAGGATATGTATATACTTACCTATTCTTGAACTTAATGATGGCTATAATAACCACAAAAATAACCAATGATACACCACTTGCAGCACCGGCTATGATTGCTACTAATTAAAATGTAATATGAATATTTATTTATTCCTTTCGATTGTTTAATAGACTACTAAGAAATATTAAAAACAAATCATACTACAGAAAAGCGCTTCGGACGCATGAAATTAATAACGTGTTGTTTTCATTTTTTACAGCACTGGGTCGATACCTCTGCTGGTGGACTATCAGTCCCCGAGGGTATCATCAGCTCAGTAGTCAAGATATGATTTACAACAAACCTTTCTAAAATTTTCCGTTTATAAATTTTGAAATTACAAAGAAACTAAGGTTTCAACTCCCTCAGGCAAAGTTGACCTTAGATAAATTTGGCTTTTTTTAAGTACTTTTTGATCGTATAGCTCTTCAACTGTTTTGGTTCTTAAACATCCTCGGCTTTCAAATTTTCGACATTGAGCGTTCCTGATGAAGGTAAATCCAGAAAAGCGCTTCGGAAGCATGAAATCAATAGATGTTGTTTTCATTTTTTTTGTCCCGTCATATCCTGGTTATGATCAAATTCATCATTTACAGTTACAACGTATAATGTATAACCTCGATCTCATTTTTTGTTTTGTTGTTTGTTCGCTGTATGCCTCACGTATGCCTCACATCTTCTTTCCTTCATATATATCAGAAACATATATTATATGAGAATTTAGTTTTTTATAATGTAAATTATTATATTTATTATGTGTAAATTAAATTGAAAATTCCGTGCACTAGTGATTGATTTGATTTGATTTTTGGTGTTTTAAAAAACCGCTTTTGGGCTATATCATATGACATTTGTATGTATGTATTATGCTACGTATACATGGTATAAGCCTCCTTTCATTTTAGAAGCACCACTATGAGTTTTGGTGTAAAAGAGGCACAGACTTAATATGAGCATTTGCCTACCCGGTTCCCCTGCCTGGCTGTGACGGGACTTACTTCAAGAAAGAGAACAATCACGTGTTGTTTTAAAGTGATTTTTTATTTGTGATAAAACGCAATGTGCTCTCCATGACAAAGTTACCACAGTGCGTGTAAATATATTAAAATAAAAAATACAAAGTATTAAATTAAGTCAAATTTCCAGGTTTTAAAATTTAAGCGTACCTTTAAGCATTTAATTCGTTTTTTTTTTTTTTTTTTTTTTTTCTGGGGGGGGGGGGGGGGGGGTCATTTTTCAGGTTATTTTTACAATGAAGCACTCCCGTATTGTCTTTCAGAAACATATCAAAAGTCTATTTGTCAATTACAGATTTCATTCTGTTCTTACATACTTTTAACACATGTTTGTTGCCTTTTTCAAACAATTATAATTGTAGGCTGGTTCTATACACAGGCAAAATGGACGGCTGTTTATGCAAAGTATGACAAGTTGGAAGTGATATATTCTTTTATTTAGATTTTTTATTAGACTTTAAACATGAAATATTGATGAACCTTTAGAGGGTACTGCAATGCAAACAAATAGGAAGTTTTAGAAATAATTCATATGCACATAATGACATTTTATCAATATTCTATAATTACCCATTTCTGATGAAAACACTTTCTGTTCGAACACTTTATCAATTGATGTGTCTGCGTGAAAGAAAAGGGTGAATTATTAAAAGGGTGAATGAAAAGTATAAGATTATAAGCAAGTTTAAATAAGGTAAATATATCAATGAAATTGGTTTCGAGTGAAGATTTCACAAATCAAACTTCCGTGTGTGTAAATTACACCCCGATCAGATACCAAAGTGATTTCCATATCATACATGCACAACACCATATTTAGACTGCATTCATCATTATTCATTCGGGCATACTTCAAAATCATTATAACATGAAAGAAAAGATGTGGATGCTCTGATAAAAAAATACTAAAGGCTAACACTATTCATGCGACAAACATATATAATATCAGAGAATAAAAACAACAAAATATTTAGAAAATGTCCAAAGCCCTTCTAAATTCAATTATCTGTACTATTGCTCAATTATGATTTCCCTCTATACGCATTTGGTAAACAGAACGTTAGTTCCTAAGAAAAATGACATAAACATTTCATATACATCGCCATTATTTGTAATCTGAATATACAAGTTTTCGGTTAACAAGGAGTTATAGAGTGATGGATTTGAAAACTATGCATACCGTATAGCGGACGCACATGAAACTTTGTTATGAAGGAAAAGGGGGAGGGAGCGCTGCTCTAACGAATTGTCTCCTGTGACCTGGGGAATTCTAGCTCACTCATTTATTTTTAGTAATTCCTTCTGTAGACGTGTTTATCTTCTCGGAAACTTGTACTTTCGAGGCCTGGCGCTGGTGAATAAAATACAATGTTGTTTTATGATTTATTCCAAACAGCAACCTAATTGAAGTGTGATATGTGATCTTATTAATTTAAATAGGAAACGTATTTTAACTTATTTTTGTTAATGAGAATCTCTATTATAAATTTAAGTTAAGTTTTAAATATCAAACTTATTTAAATCAGAAGATAAATTCATACTTTATTTACTTGATTTCTCAACGTCACATTTTCTAGCTATGATCAAAAGAACTCTAGAAATTGGATTTTAATTATTTATTACTTAATCTTACATCACCTATTTTGTCTCAAAACTTTAGCAATGCAATCAATGCAATATAATTCAATTTTATTTATTTGTTCATTTACTTATCTAAGTTTACTTTATTTAATTTTCATTTTCAAGCATACAATTTTCCATCATCATAATAGCACTAATTTTAAGGGTGTCATGAATACCTAAAAATTCTTATGACTCAAACAATCTTTATTTCTCTTAAGGGGAAATTTACTTATTAATTTGAACTCAATATCAAAATAGCAATCGCTGCAGCACACAATGCAAACCTACACATTTATTTATTTATTTATTTATTTATTTTATCTATTCATTTATTTATTATCTTTGTTCTTTGTCGAACTCTGTGCCTTTTCTCGGCATTGCCTTTTCTATGGAATGATGATCCACAAAAAGCTTCTTTTTTAAAATTTGTAAACAACCAACTTTCCTTTACAGATGTTTATTTTATGTACTTTTATCTTTTGTAAGTTAAAATTTGAGGCATTATTTTAGGGTTCTCCTATAAACAGAGGCATTTCTGTTAATCCTTCACAGTTAAATGAATATGAACCGCCTGAACTTTAACTTCCAAACAATATTACATTTTAACTTTCTCCGATGTTCTATTTTAAATTTGTTTTTCTCATACACGAATCTTTGTACCTTCGATATTTATCAACGACTATTACATCATTTGCCTTCTTTATTTTCTATCAAACTGATTGATTTTGTCAAAACATTTATTTTATTTATTTTATTTATTTTATCTACATTTTCAGTCGTTACATTTTTCATAGCGTTTTTCTACCATTTGAGCCTATAGACTGCTTGAAGTGAAATTTTAGGTTAACAACTTTAATTTGCTGCTCAGTCCTCACTTAAACAAAAGAATTTTGCATATCAACGAAATTTGCCCTTGAAGTAAACAGAATTTGGACTTAACCTTAAAATTTACACATTTAACTTACTTTGTTAATTGTTATTGCTCTTACAAATCTCATATGTTGTTTTAAAGCATTTCTGGCCTATCTTCCACACCTATCCAAAATGATTATGTAAAGTAATTTAAAAACTTTTCTTTACATACAAGTTACAATCAAAAGTACCTATCTCATTCGGATTTTTTTTATATACATGTAAAGCCTATTTCAGGTATTTTACATAAACTCACATATATATATATATATTCATTTTCCATTAGTTAAACTTACTTACTTTTTAAGAATTTGAATTATTTTAGAAATTTTTTTTTGAACAAATCACACATACCATTACTCACATAATATTAACATATATATACAACATCAATTCACACAATATTTTGAAAACATATTGCACAATCATGGTCCGATAATTTTGTTTTAAATCTAATTTCTGTATTATTCCGATTTTTTTCCATGTCTTCTCCACAAATTTGAATAACGATAGGTTCCGAAAAGCTCATCACAATAAAACAGAAAACAGGTAAAATTGATCAAGGTTCAAACTTTAGGAAATTTCCATTTTTTTGGTTTATGATATGTGTTTTTGTCCAACATTCCATTTAAATTTCCCTTCCGAATTTTCACTAAACACTGTTATTTTAGATCACCAAATGCCGGTTTTTGAGGTACCAAGAATCTTTCCTCTTGCTCCACCCTTCTGTTATGCAGGAAAAGGGGGAATGATTCTTTTTTTATGTAAAGATTTATATGATTGACATATCTTTTATTTAGTTATGTAAAAGCAATTAATGGATTATTAAAAATCTTTACTTAATTTACAGGATTATTTTAGTGGACTATGGAAACACTTTGGTATTATTTTCTTACGGCAAATTAAAAACATTTTTATTCTTTCAGGGGATGACAGCTTATTTACCTGATTTCTCAACGTCACTTTTTATAGCTATATTCAAAAGAACTCTAGAAATCGGATTTTAATTATTTATTACTTAATCTTACATCCCCTTTTTTGTTCTCAAAACTTTAGCAATGCAATCAATGCAATATAATTCAATTTTATTTATTTATTCATTTATTTATCTAAGTTTTCTTAATTTTACTTTCATCTTCCGGCATACAATTTTCCACCTTTGTAACTTGATCATCGGTAAAATTTCGAGAAGCTCTGATGTAGCTTCATTAATCAATTGATAGTTTCTTAACGTCCAGTGAAAAATATTTCATGCATGTTCAGGACGACAAACGCAATGAAAACTTAAGGGGAAGAATGGTCAGAGGTAGACAGTATACCCACTTTTTCGAAACGAAGATATAGTGATTTGAAGATCTCAGTTATTGTTATTAGATTTTGCTGTCAACAGTCTTTCTGTATCCATTTCTGAGATAATACCCAACCAATATTAAAAGTCCATTGATATATCAATTTATCATATATTTAGTACTAAATACAGCAAATTTGTATATCTAATAAAGGTTCTTTTCTCCAGTCTGTATCATTAACCCTGTATCGCATACCCCATATCGCATAGCTAAACCCGTATCGCATACCCTGTATCGCATATCTAAAGCCGTATCGCATACCGGGCGTGACGTCATATATCAAAGTTGGACATATGACATCCAGTTGCCGTATTTCCTTGCATGATACGAAATGTAACAACATTTAATTAGAAATTCAGAAAAATACTTGCAAGAGAAAATGGGTCATTTATGACAATGATTTAGACAAGAAATTTGGAAAATGATCAAAATACCCATTCTCTCTCCATTATTATTTTGTTTAAAGTACATGTACATGTGTTAACTTTGATGGAATCGAACTGAGGTAATAAAAGTATTGAATTTATAATTGACTTATCTATAGCTTTTGTATTAATTAGCGATTCATCATGTATGTACATTGATACTTTTCCTTAATAGCAATGTTCACTTCAAAATATCTATTATTTTGAATAATGCAAATATTATAAGTGATTTAAACAAATTAAATGTACATGTATCATTATGAGGTTCCAAATGAGAAAAGGCAAATTTATAAATTACATGCATCCAAAAGAGGATAGGAAAGAAATTTTGACACCAAATACTTGCAAAACAAAATAAGTAATGTATGCCAGATGAGGACTAGAAATTGTAATGATGGATTATTTTAACAAATGACTAGATTTCTCTTTTAATACAAGTATTTAACCTAATGTAGTAGTTATTATTTTGTTTTTTGCTTAAGAATATGATCCTTGATGTGATATTGTTGTTTTGTTTATTAGATCAAAAAAATATAATGTTGTTAATAATATTTTAATATTTATTCATAAGTATCAGCATCATAGTTTCATTTGTGAAAATTCCAGCTCCAATATTTAGTTCGAAGTATGCACATATTTAGTGCAGCAAAATTGGTACCCTGTCGAATATGTAGATAGATATAAGAAGATGTGGTATGAGTGCCAATGAGACAACTCTCCATCCAAGTCACAATTTGTAAAAGTAAAAAGATATAGGAAGATGTTGTATGAGTGCCAATGAGACAACTCTCCATCCAAGTTACAATTTATAAAAGTAAACCATCATAGGTCAAGGTACGTAAGTTCATATATATATATATATAAATCCCTCTGTTTGTCTGTCCATACTCTTTGAATATAAGTTACTTGGTAGCATTGTTGTCCACATTGATTATGTATACAAATGAGATCAGATTGTAGTATAATATTAAAATAAACTTGGTTAAACTTGACAACAAATATATTGGGAAGGTGGGTTGTATTCTACAGGAGGGAACAGCTGACAGTATCATTAGTGAATGCATTTCAATACATAGTCTTAAAATGTATTATTTGAAAGTTTCATAGCCCTTTTTTTTTTAGCATGTAATAAGGTAATTAGAGACATAACGAGGTGGATGTATCGTTCAGTATGCACGATCCCAAATTTTGTTATGACTATCATGGATTTTAAGCAAATAAGAAAGTCTTTAAAAAAAAACAGTCAGCTGGAAAACTACAGGAAAATCAAGGATATTTCACGAATCTGATTCTATTAAAATATATGATAAAC